ATACGGAAAAAATCCGACTTTTGAACAAATGGAGTTGGGGAGATCATTTACATAAATGAAGAAAAGCAGCGGACCAAGGACCGATCCCTGAGGAACTCCAGATTTTACCGAAATTTTGCAAGAAGTTATATACTGAAACGGATTGAGTTCTAAGGGAGAGAAATTCCCTCTCTAGTTACCAAGAGACTGGTAAATGTTTAAAGTTTTTTTTTTTTTTTTTTTTTTGTGGTGGTGGGCGTTGGTGCAAGGCTTGGTCAAAAGCCTTTGTGAAATTGACGAAAATAGCGTCCGTCTGCACCCGTGAGTGAATGTTCTCATGTATATCGGTAATGAATTCAAATAGAGTTTCGCAAGATCGTTCCTTTCGGAAATTGTGCTGGTTCGGGAAAAAGAAGTTAGTATCTAAAATGTAATCAGCGAGGTGGGTGTAGATCACATGTTCCAGAGGTTTGCAGGGTATGCTTGTTAGAGAAATTAGACGGTAGTTATTAGCAAGCGAAACGTCCCCAGACTTAAAGACCGGAATAACCTTCGCGTGTTTCCAGTCTTTAGGTAATAATCCTTGATCCAAACTCTGTTGAAACAAAAGCTGGAACTAATCACTGAAATATGTCAGAGAAGCTTTTGTAGTTTAGGCGAAATACCATCAACTCCTGGACTAGAAGAGTGAGCGAAGGTGAGGACTCAACGTTTATTCTATCTAAAAAAAAATCGGTCTAGCCCCTCGAACCAGCCAATCCGACGTGAGCGCCGTTGCTAGGGTTTGTATCGCCTGCGCGTTAAAAATATGCCCCCGCGGGTCGGGGTGGTGTCCTTGGTATTCCTTGGGTGCCGCCGGCCAGAGTTTGCCCTGCCCAGTGGCGGCTGTTTCAGGGGGAGGGGGGGCAAAAACACATGCCTTGCCCCCCGGTTGGTCTGCCCATGGTCGTGGGCCAGACTAGCCAGACAGTGGCCGTGGGCCAGCCATTGGCCGATGTCTGGCCATTCTCTGGCCATTGGCCATCAGCCATGGCCCATCGGCCAAGCATTGGCCGATGAATGGCCACTCTTTGGCCATTGGCCAAAAGACCATCGTCAGCCAATGGCCAATGCATGGTCAAAATCCGTGCTGCTTGGGCATCCAATATGCGACAGAGGGGGCCGACACGAGCACAGTGCGCAACCATAACTTCGCATTCCCAGCAGAGGGGATTTTTTTTTTTTTAGAGCGCAGCTCTTAGGGGCCCGTTCCCGGCTTGAGCGGCGTCGCCGTCGCCGTCGGCGTAACCAAGGTCATCCCAAGGTCACGTGACCTTGGGGGTCACGTGACCCCTCCCAAGGTCATCTCAAGGTCACGTGACCCCACGTGACCCCTTCCAAGGTCATCTCAAGGTCACGTGACCCCAAGATGACCCCACGTGACCCTTTGAAGGTCACGTGACCCCCAAGTCACGTGACCCCTCTGAGGTCACGTGGTCGCCTCCCCAAGGTCACGTGACCCCCAAGGTCACGTGACCCCTTCCAAGGTCATCTCAAGGTCACGTGACCCCAAGGTCACGTGGGGGTCACCTTTGGGGTCACGTGGCCTTGAGGTCACCCCCAGGTCACGCCTCCCCGAGGTCACGTGACCCCCTCCCCGAAGTCACGTGACACCCCCCCCCGGAGCATATTAAAGAATGAGGGGAGGAGGAGGAGAAGGGGGAGGGGTCTACCCTCCCCTCAGTACCCTTCACTCCTCCTCCTCAAGAGCTGCGCTCCAATTCGGCGTTACAGGGATTTGTAAACGGCTTTCACTTTTTTTTAGGTTGTGTTGAGAGAATTATTTCTTAGGTTGTGTTGAGAGAAATAAATAAAATAAATGAAGGTTGTGAGAGTTTTCTGGCATTAAAAACGGCGCCGGCACTAACGTTTGTCGTAACGTTAGAGCCATATATTTCACAACAATTCAGCGTCAGGCGGCTCTTCGCGAATGGTAAGCTTGCTCGTTTTAATAGATTTAACTCAATGCGGAACGAAAGTTCTGCGTTCGGAACGGACGACGGCCAAGTGACAACAATCCAACTTGTAACCACAAAAAAAAAAAAAAAAAAAAATCTTATATTCTTACGCGTTGCTTCTCATATAAGCGCTCTATAAATGATGGTGTCTTCTGGCGAGCAATAAGAAAAACACCATCACCTTAGTAGCGCCCACTACAAGTTCTGCTTCTTGCACAGGAGTTGCAGTGCCGTCCGAACGCCGACCTCAGATTGGTTCAGTTGGAAGCAAAGTGGGTAGACCTAAATGCTAGCTGCCTTGAGGTCTACCCACTATCATTCCAATCAGAGCCAATCGGCAAGGCGTTCTTACGTCACTAGAACCCCTGTACAAGGAGCAGACGAAATTGCGCTCCGCATTGATTGGCCGTTCCTAACAGCGCTGAGATCTCAGCATCTATTGTCATGTCATTTTATGAAAATTAATGGTAGGAGAACAACAAAATTAGCTTTTTTTCATACAAAAAATAATGTTTATTAGAAGGCATAAAATTTTAATTCATTCACTTCGCGGTTTGGAGAAGGCCGAAAAAAAACGCTTCTCGTGTTGCAATTATTCACATTACACATTACATGCGCGCTTTGTGTAGCAACTAGTTTGCTAGTTTTCATCGCATGTTATATAACAAGATTGCAAGATGAAACAAGCATTCTTACCTCACAAAGACAGGAGCCTTTCATGGGCGCCTACAATTGTCCCCCTTACCGTAATATCCGAAGTCATCGCCCACCCCCTGCCGCCTGAAATTTATATAAAAAAAAAAGGTGGGTTGGGCCATGTTTTGGTGGGCAAGCACAAGAAGTTTAGAAAAAGTTGAAAAAACGCCCGTTTTTCTGTACGTATCTAGCACGGCTACACAAGAGATACATTAAACCCAGAACTCGAATTAGTTTCATTGTTTTATGCAAGAAATGCTTATGAAAGAACGTTTTTGCTATTGCAAAGTCCGTTGCTTGCATACGCGCGTTGAACACCGTCGATCGGCACACAGCGCGAACGTTTGTTCCGTGGTTTCTAACACAATCATGTTCTCTTCTCTAGCAAAAAAAAAAAAAAAAAAAAATTTTTTTTGGAGGACATTTAAGCATTAATTTATACGAGTTGTGATATGCGAAAGCATGAATGTCGTTCTTCCGCTCCCTTGGGTCGCCGAAAGGAACAGAAACTGCCGCAGAAACTTTATTTGCCCGATCGTGGCGTCCTCTATAAGTCGCTGGAGATACTGAGCGCAAGTTCGTCTGCTTCTTGCACAAGGGTTCTGATGATGTTAGAACGCTGAGCGCTTACTGGCTGATTGAAAAAAAAAATAGCGAGTGGACCTCAAAGTTTCTAGCATTAAGGTCTACCCACTATCTTTTCAATCAAAGCCAATTAGTGCTCGGCGTCATTGTGACGTCACCGCAACTCCTCCGCAAGCAGACGACTTGCTCTCTGCAATCACTGGCGGCCATAGCCATGTGCGCGACTGCCAAGCGCGTGCCTGACGGCGAGTTTCCAGTTCTTTTGCAACGTGCATTCCACACCATCAAGATTACTGGTCTCGGGAGCCTAGTAATTTGAGCTTGTCCTAAGTACACATTACACCCCCTACACTCCGTTCCCTGAACCCAGGAATCCTGGGTTCAATTCCCCACCCGTCCCTTTCGATCTGGACGAGTATCGTACCGGCACGGTCGCGTATCACTACTACGGCCCCAGACTAGCAGTTGTACTGTACTGGCTAAATTCCTCATCTACAGCTGAGACACCAGACGCATTGAGGCTGACCAACTTCCGGCTCTCTAAACGTAAACACAACACAATCACATTAAACATGCTTGTCCGACCAAAATCTAAAATACTAGGCGCTCTCTTTCCCGTAAAGTTAATTCCGGCAACCTCTGGCAATAGTTCGCAGGCATTACGAGGAACAAGGCAACTCACGACGCAGATTTTGTTTCTGCAGCAGCCTAGTGCAACGGCTGCACGCCTATTCCCTTTCAGCCTAGATTGGAGTGCTATAGTCTGTTGCAACAGATCAGCCGTATATGCTCCGCCTGCAGTGCAAGCTTTCTACCTTCCATACTTTCCATACCACTTCGGCGCACGCCAAGCCAAACACGCGTGCTGGAGGCCGAGCATTTACTGCCGAGCACTAACTTTATCGCAACATTTACTGTTGCGACAGAGTATAGTTTTTTTCAAGCTTGAGAAGCAGATTCTTTTAAGAGGTGAACTACTCAAAACTAACATCTATACTCAATCTACCGAGCAATATTACTTTTCTCAAATAAGGGCTTCTGGCAAACACCAATAAAACATTGATAGATATTCGTTTCTGTGCAATGCCTACTTTTCACAGAAACAAAATGGTCGGCAATTCAAGAAGCACTTTGGGGCCCTATGCTACACGGCGGGACTGGGACAACGCCGTCTGCTGCAACTGGTCTGCGGCGCATTGCTGACCAATCGCAGCAGACGACGTTGTCCCGGTCCCTTGGTTCAGCTTGGTACGTATTAGCATAGAGTCCCTGGATGCCTCTCCTTGAAGAGTCCTGCGGATGCCCATGGGCATCACTTCATTTCTTAATGGGCCAACAATGTAGCATAATGCTAGTGTGCAACATTTTGATGCTATGCTGGTGAAACAAGTCGACCTCTCCGGTTGTCCCATAAAGCCAGGGTGGAGGAATGGGTTCAGAAGAGTATTTCCAGGCTGGCAAACTGAATGAAGCAACATCCCAGGCTATCTCTGAGATGATGCCATGCATTCCCACTACAAGTGTTGCCGCGTGGCCTACTCTTTTGAAGGGCCAATATGGGCATTGTGGGTTGTTTTCATCTAGTTGGATAGACGCATATCTCTGGGAAAGATGACCACCGTGCAAGTCTGCATATTTTACGAATCGTTACCACTGTATTTAAACTACAATTAACTATAGCCTCATAAATCTTTAACAGTAACAGTAACTTATAGAGCAACGACGAAGACCATCTGCGAGACGCCCAGTAACAATAATTTTATTAATGTTGCATTGCATTTCACTTCTAAAATTAAGAAAAAAACAATCTGACAGATACTGATGCAAAGGCTATCAGACACAACCATTGCACTCTTATAAACTCTACCCTTTCCTGGTCATAAAATTGTGTAATTAACAAAGCAATTACTATGGTAGTAATAGTGAGTCTTGTCATTGCAGTACAAACGAGGCAGGCATACAAAATAAGAGTTGATTACATCTAAATTGGGTCGGCAGCTTATCCTGCTGGCCACATCACCGCTTATTGCAGTTATAAATCCGTATATACTGTCAAGAATTCGTCAGAAAAGCTGTTGTGACAACCCGAGACAAAAAAACAAACCGTGAAACACAACGCCTCCAGACATATTTGGAAGTGTGCCTTGGGCACTGGAGATTCCCCAGGAGATAATGCTGCACCGCCAGAAATATTTGCCGACTGGTCAAGTAAGCGTACCATTTAATAGCAAAAAGAAAGAAAAAAAAACTAATGTGATTATCACAAGCATAAAAAGCTGCTACCACTGCGCCTCCAACTCACAGCGAGCAAAAATAATTATATATTACCCTGCGTTAAACGAGCTCCTAGGCTGACTGGAAACAAAATAAAAGCAAAGAAACCAAAGCGGAAGCAACTGGTTTTGGAAACGGGACAAAAAGCAAAAAGGACAGAAAAGATACAGCTGAAAATGCAAGTTCTTGTGGCTGAGATTTACAATTGTCTCATTTATTCAGCAACAGCACAGAAAGCACGTCCTTTGCACCGGCTAGAGGAACCCATTCCTCACTCACAGACAATGGAAACGTCAATTACAATAAAAAAAAAAATTCGCCATCGCTCGAGAAGGCTGTACGGGACGTGCAAGCACTCCCTGCCCCTCAAAAAAAAAACAAAAAAAAACCTCCCATTATGTACAGTTCAGCTCCGGCCATCCACAATTAAACCAGTCAAACTCCAGCCACTCATTCAAAACTCTCCTCCCTTGCGTCGCAATGAGACAGGCACTTGAGCACTTTCCAACATCTGACTCGCCACCCTCAGAAATGAAGACGACGACGTCTCAGAAGCACACAGCCAAAACCACAGGTGGCCTCGAAACCGCCGATGTGCCGGCCCGCGTATTGTGTACAGCGAAGCTCACCGGGCGCAAAAGAAGAGCCTCAACTTCCCCACATGACTAGGAAAGTACCGCCCCCTAAACCACTTCCCTCCTCCAACCCTCGCACACCTTCGTCGGAGCTTGCATCCCAATGCCCAAGTCCCACTAGAGCAACAAACAGAAACAACCGACAGCGACAATCCTCAAACCCGATTCTTTCGCGATTTGACAAGCTCTTAGATAAAATAAAGGGTGCTATGCGCAAACTTGAGGGTATCTTTGGCAGGCTCCCAATCACTCGTGATTACTTCACGAGTACCGAACGACTCAAAACCAGCCAAAGGTACCATTGCGAACATGCTGCATGTGTTAAAGGCTTCTCAGTTTCAATTGTTTTTGTTTGTCGCTCTAGTGGGACTCGGGCATTAACACGCACACGCAAGACAACAAAAAAGAGGAAAAAAGCGGATGTAAAAATGCCGACAGGTGGTTGCATAAAAAAAAAAAAAAAGAAAAACAACGACCCAAGACTATTCCGGGATTTTTTGTGGCAGTCGACGGCAACGACGTCTGGTACGGGGCCGCGCCGGCCACCCCCAAGGACTGTGGGGCCTCAGATGCGGAAGCTCTCGTATTTGCCGTCGATGTGGCGCAGCCTCAGGTACACGTCCGTCCCGATACCCTGGAGCGTCTCGAAGGTGAGGGTGCCGCCGAGGTACTCGGCGTAGGCGCGCGACGTCGGCAGTCCAAAGCCGAACCCGTGCATGGGGCCCCCTGCGGGGCCGTCCATTGGCTGCGTCATCATCGTGCCCAGCAGGCCACCGTCGTACTGCCCCTCGTATGAGCTGGCCGTCGAGAAATGGTATTGCATGATCTGCCCCAGGTGCTCGTGCTCGATGCCGCCGCCCCGGTCGGAGATCCTGCGGACAGAAAGTAGGCAGTGCTTCCGAAATGGCAGCGAAAAACACCTTGACAGCCTCCGGCGCAATCCTGCGGGTCGCCACGGAGTCCAGATAAAGATGACAAGCAGACGCGGGCGCCTCGAAACGCGCGGAGTGAAGGCTCGTACTGCGGGACTCCCAAACCCAGATGAAGGCCCTTTCGTTTCTGTCTCGAGCGCAGACGAAAACTCGTAACAGGCGCGCAGAAATCGGCCGGGACGTCCGAGCCTGCCGAACCCACCTGATGATGAAGTCCACGTCGTTGTTGGCTATGGTGACCGTCACCGGGGGCAGGCTCGACTCTGGGTTGTCCGGGTGGTTCTCCACCGTGGCCCTGGGTGTAACCCAAACATTAAGGCCAGAGCCCGGAGCTAGACGGCGGGACATTACCTCCCACCGATCTAGAGAGCGTCGGGGCTACGTCGCGCGCTCTCAATATCGCTGTCCCGCTTGATTGAAGTTTGATCGACTGCACCTCAACCACTCGTGATTGCTTAACTCTTTTCTGACCGTGGCCAAGGACCGTCGATCACCGGCAACCAATGGTTTCCAAGTGCCATCGAGAAATTAAAGTGTGTGCGGAGAATTATGTTCCACAACCTCCATGGATAGCCGAAGAACTGTAGTTTCGGCTTGTGTTTTATTGCGTGCTGGTGGGCTGTCAAAAATACACTTGGGAATGGTGGTTGCACTTGTCTAACACGGCTATCTGCTTGCATCAGTCTTCGTAACAAAGATGGCATTCTTTACAGAATTCAACTGTACTGTGGCATATTTTTGAGACCTCAAGAGCTCTGGGGACACTTTAATAATGTTATAGGTGTCGCTTAAAGGAGTTGTGCAACGATTTAAACGCTGAAAGAATTGGCATCTTCTACTTTTGACAATGTTCATCTTGTCACAAAGGACAGAAAACACACCTCCTTCATTCGAAATGTTGCGATTCTGCCGCGTAATCGCGAGGCAAAAATTTGAATATTCCCCGACCTGCAGCTGCAAGCGGCGGCCATGAGAACCACGCGGCATAACGTCAGTGGGGGTCTTGTAGAAAGATAGCAAGTTGTGCGAATACCTGCTCGATAAAAAGTAATTTTTCTGTAAATCTTGTCGTTCCAACATAAATATATATGTGTCAAAAACCTGGTATCATCGACAAAACTTTTATTATGTGGAGTTTTAGTGGCGCCATCTATCCTAAGTCCACAAAACCTTCAGCTCTATCTGCTACCGCGAACAGCCGCCAGAAGCCGGAGGGGGAGGGGGGCAGAGCCAGACGGGGATGGCCAGACTTGGATGAAACTTTCCTCCTTTCACCATATCGTCCGCGCTGCGCCAGCACGTGGTCACGCACGCGGTCGCGAGCGGATGAGTTCTCGCTGTTCACTGATGGCTCTAGAGAGAGAGCTTCACCGGAACCCCGCGCAATCCCCATTGACGTCACAACACACGTGACTTGGAAGATGGTGAAGGAGTTGAGAGGTGCCGAAAACCTCAATCTTTGTCCATTTTTAAAATAAAAACTAGGACATGCGGGCAAAAGCGATTTTTAGAGCGCAGCTCTTAGGGGCCCGTTCCCAACTTGAGCGGCGTCGGCGTAACCAAGGTCATCCCAAGGTCACGTGACCCCCAAGGTCACCCCAAGGTCACGTGACCCCTCCCTTAGGGTCACGTGACCCCAAGGTCACGTGACACCCAAAGTCACGTGACCCCCCTGAAGTCACGTGACCCCCCCCCCCCCCCCGAAGTCACGTGACACCCCCAGGTCACGTGACCTGGGGGTGTCACATGACTTCGGGGGGGGGGGGGGGGGGCATCCGCATCATCATCATCACAGATGACGTCATCAGTGACGTCACTGATGACATCATCGGCATCGTCACGTGACCCCCCAAGGTCACGCCACCCCCCCCCCCCAGGTCACTTCACCCCCCCAGTACCCTTCCCTCCTCCTCCTCAAGAGCTGCGCTCTAATTCGGTGTTACAGGGAGTTGTAAACGGCTTTCACTTTTTTGTTCTTTACTTCAGAAAGGACGAGGCACCAACTCCCAAATTATTTAAGCAAAGCACTGAAATTGTTGCACAGCTCCTTTAACAGCATCTCCATAATTTCCAATGCTGTCCTGAGCTGGCGTGCACATTTTACGTTCCCAACAAAGCGGGTAAAAATGCGAAATACGAAGGAACTGCAATCAAGGCCAAGGTAGTCCACAAAGAAAGCATTCTGCTGGGGATGTGAGGTGTACTATCTGTGTTTCACCAATATAAGCATTCCTTCGTTGAAAAGCACACGTGTTACGGAGGCCAACTCTCCTATGAACCAAAAATAAACAAGGTCAATTAGAGTTCACCAACTTTCAGAAGTGATAGCCGTGGATGTGGAGCACAGCTTGTATATATTCAAAATTTTTTCTTTTATTTGTCATTTAATTTTATGTGGCTGTAGAAGTTTTGGACCTTATACGCCTTCTGCACATACATTGTGTTTTCAAGAAATAAAATTTTTAAATATTGTTTTTAGATTATACTAACCTCTGTTTCTTTTGAAAGAACAACTAATTGGCCACATCTAAATATGTCATATTGCTCTATATGCAAATTAGTCAGTAAAATAAAGCTTTTGCATGACTCCTAGAGCCTTTTGTATAGCTTGTGGTGCAATTCAAATGAGATTTACGTAGCTTATCTGCCTTTACAGTCTGACTACAAATATGTACTTGGTTTTGATGCAGCCCAATTAGTTTCACTAATACTGAAAGCTTCATTTGCAAAAATTATGGGAAGGATTAATACAAATTGAAATACTAAAATCACAAAATAAACATATCTCAGTAAACTGAAAGGTCTGTGGAATCCAATAGGATATAAATGAAAGCTCTAAAAAGATTTATAAGTTTTTAGAGCGCAGCTCTTAGGAGCCCGTTTCCGGGTTGAGCGGCGTTGCCGTCGTCGTAACCGCGCGTTGCATTATGGGACATTTTCCATAATGACGTCACGTGTGACGTCACAAGGGTTAAGTTTTCCTGCTAAATTAATTTGGCGGGGAATTTTTCTGCTAAATTTAGCAGGAAAGTTTTTCCACTAAAGTTAGCGGGGAACACTTCCCACTAAATTTAGTAAAACAATTTCCGGTAAAGTTTGCGGAAGTTTTCACTAAATTTCTCGCCACACGTCACACTAATTCACGTGACTTCACATGCGACGTCACCTGTGACACCACATGAAGGAATATGACGTTACGTGAAATTTAGCGGGGAAATGGACCTCACGTGACCTCGAAAACCAATTAAGTTTCCCCGCAAAATTTAGCTAAAAAATTTTCGCTAAATTTAGTGGGAAATTTAGCAAAAATTTTTCACTAAATGAGAGCAGAGCAGGAGAGGAGGGGGGCAGGGTATGGAGGGGAGAAGAAGTATACCCTCCCCTCCTCCTCCTCCTCAGGAGCTGCACTCTAATTCGGCATTACAGAGAATTGTAAACGTCTTTTATTGTTTATGACACTTGAATTTTCCAGTTTTAAAATGATTTATTGCTACAAGCTTAAAAAGGCATATAAAAAAAAATCCAGATGCCATATTTAACACATATGTACATATTACCGGTCACCTCGCACATACACCTGCTAGAGACAAAAATTATTTAGGAAGACTGGATACATGCATGTGGAGATATGGCTTCCATAAGATAGCAAAATGTAAAATGTTAATTCTGAAATAATAGCAAAAAACCATGCACAGACTCATTTTACCGTGTTTTCGAGTCATTATTTCAAGATAAAGGAGACTTATTTCACAAAAACACTTCCGAACGAGATGATGGCGCATGTCAAGCTTCAAAAATACAATTTCAAAATTTTGTTTTGTACTTTTTGTTTTAAAGGGCACTGTCTCCCCTTAAAGGACACACTAGCATCAGCCAGATATCCTCTCACAGTCCTGGAACTGTTCGAACCTAGGTATAACTAAAGCCACTGGATTTGGGACAGTAGCACCATTGCCTTCACACCTACTAGCCGTACACATACAAATACCAACACGCAGACGACAAACGTCATCGCTGTCGGTTGCCATAGTGATCACCATTTTGAACCTCTTCGAAGTTTCGAAACTCCGAAGGGGTCTTTAGAGACAGTCGCACCAAGATCGCTATGGAGTACCATCGAACTGAAAGTGTTCCTTGGCCAATATGAGCGTCTTTGGCACTGTGCATGCAATAAAGTTATCACTCATGCTTATTTCCCCAGATCTCTTACAATTATGTTGCTGTTCTTGCGTGTTTCAAGACAAAAAAATTATTTTTCAATGCCCCCAAGCGCTGACGCTGCGTGTGATCTCGTACATCTTCGTACCGCCATCACAAGCAACGTCAGTGCTTGGAGGCATTGAAAAATAATTTTACCGTCTTGAAACATGCAAGAGCAACATAATTTTAAGAGATCTGGGGAAATAAGCATGAGAGTTAACTTTATTGCACGCACAGTGCCAAAGGCGCTCATATTGGCCAAGGAACGCTTTCAGTACAATGGTGCTCCAAAATGGCGACCACTATGGCAACCGACAGCGATGAGCCAATCACCTTGAGAGGCTTTGTCATCTGTATGTTGGTATTTGTTTGTGTCCGGCTAGTAGGTAAGAAGGCAATGGCGCTACTTTCCCAAATCCAGCGACTTTAGGTATAGCTAGACCGAAGGCTTTTCAGTATTTGCGAGATCAAGTCTACTCGCCATCTACAAGAAATAATCGCTTATAACGTCGTCAACATTATTTCAAGCCCCTGGTCAAAGAATAATCAGCAACTTATGAGCAGACCGGCGTTGCAGAGTTACTCCATGGATGGCACCAGTGTGCTCCATAAGAGGCGCGTTCACAATGCAGTCCATCACACTCAAATGCAAATGTTTGAACCAGCCACTCAAAGCAGAACCAAATGTTTCCAAACTGCCATTCCGCCCGTCTGCTCGAAGAAAGGTTCCCTGTGGTTACCTTCGTAGGTTTCTCGAGTGCTTGCTCAACCTTTCCCCAGCGAGCATTTTTCCAATAAGCTCCATGCTGAAAATTTGAGCCTCCCACCGATGTACAACTATGAGCCAAACACTCCAGCATGTGCACTAGTGTGTACGAGGTACGTAGGGATCTGCACTGCTTTACTGCATCAATGCCAAGAGCAGAAAGGGTTCTTCGGCTGAGAGCCGAAGTCAGAGAGCCCGCATAGCAAAGCAACCGGTACGTGCAGCAAAATCCACGCAAGATGCCCGCAGGTTGCGGACTATCTGCCGGGGGGACCCACCTGACTGCGTTCTTGAGCAGCTCTGGAATAATGTAGTCCAGGGGCAACTGGATGTAGGGGAAGCTGCATGTCAGGTGGCCGTTGTACTTGATGGGAGGCGACTTGCCATACTTGTGCACCGCCACCTGTCTGCAGCACCACAGATGCAAAAAAGTGCCTCAATGTTACAGTCGCCAACATCTGGAAAATTACCGTCAGTCTTTAACAGACATGTACCTTTTCGATGTAGAACTAAGTCTTTCTCTGCGCATGGAAAGGGGTGCAAAGTTGGGAGGTCGATGTCACGAAGCACCGACTGGATAGCATCACCACGCTCCCTGACAGCACGTAGCCTACTACCGAGAACCGCACAGTGCGCACATGCATCTTTTCTTGTCTGCTGGCTTGCTTGTTTGCTCGCTTGCATGTGACTCGCTCCTGTTTGATCGAAATGGCAATAGACGCCGCTCCGGCAGCCGTGATTCCACAATCTTCGCTCACTGCTCTGAACAGCGGCCGAGCAGACGAGCTCGCGTGCTCTGCGGCACAGGCAATTCACGCGACTCGGTGAAGCATTAAAAACAACTGCACGCAATTCCGCATGTGCACCTTGAAGGTGGCGCCGCGCGGGCTTGCACATTTGCCTCCACCGGACTCCGAGACACGGGCATTCGCTTCTCGCGCACCCGACATCGTCATGCAGCAGGAGCCCGTAAACATTTCTTCAGCTGCGGTCGTAGTTCTACGGAAATTTATGCAGCATAGTAAACCGATGCAGTGGCATATTTTTTATATATTTATATATTTATATTATTATATTATTTATATATTTATCTCAAAAAGGTGACATCTGGAAGCAGTTCTCCCACTGTTCAACTAATGTTCTCTCAAACTTTCGGTGCCCGAGAAATGAAAATGCTCTCGCACACCTCGGCACATCCATTCTTTCTTCAACTAGTTTGGAAATGAATGACCACGCTTGTTTCTTTTCTTTCACAAGTGGACCTATCTCTTTTGGTGCAGTTCTCAATATGCGAGACATTTTGATTGGACTCCTATGATTCCCGAGTGGCCGTCTGGCCTGCCCTGGCCACCCAACCACCACGGAAGGAGGCACGCCTCCCACATTTCGTGTGGAACTACCAGAACCACTAAAAATTCTCAAGCTGCTGCACTTTGAATGATGCAAGTCAGAAACGTACTTGACAAAGTCTGCCCATTTCTCGATCACTTCCTTGGGACGCATTGCCGTGTTGATGATCCCCACATGGTTGGGCTGCAAGAAAAATGGAACTCATCTAACAATGTACAAATTCCACAAAAAAATTTTCCTGTTTTTTTTTGTTTTTTTTAAGCAAATTTTTGACAATAAAATGAGCCAGCCACGAGCTTGTAAAATAGTTAAAAATTGTAATGTCAGCTTTTATAAACCCTACTTTCTCAAAAACTAAAAAAAAAAATTCATTCAGCCTTTCCACTCTCGTGAAGGAAGACCAGCGGAGCTGTACTCGATACACTGTGTGCTTCTTCTTCCTCGTCGTCTGTTTTTCGCGCTGTTTTTTACGATGAATTCCCACCAACGCCCCCACTATCCATTCTTCTATTATAGCTGGAAAGGTTGGTGCCATCTACCAGCGACGGCGGAAACCATACTGGTTGTGTGCTTGCCGCTGTCGCTTATAGATGGCGGTAGCTGTCCAGGCAGGTTTGTGTCGACATACCAGACATGATCCTGGGGAACCTAGCCCTTAACAGCTCCGCTGTAAAAGTTTTTAGTTGCACAAAGGAAATGCAGGGTGCATCGAATGATCTCCCACTTTACCCTCAGTGCCCATGAGAGACACATCTGGGGCCCTAATCTACATGGCAAAACTGAGGGACTGAGACACGGCCGCCTGCTGGGATTGGCCAGCTCTGCACTGCCGACCAATCGCAGCAGGCGGCAACATCCCTCGGTCCCGCCTGGTCCCGCCACGTTGATTAGGGTCCCCGAGCTTTCTGCAAATGGTACGGCCAACCAAGGTAGTTTTGCTGCCCACCTCGAGAGAGAGAAAGCACTTTTGCCCCGAGCGTTTAGACAAGCGAGGCGTCAGTCACCCTGTCCTGGCGCAGCGCGATGTGGTGCTCCGCCAGCATCCGCATCCCCAGCCGCGACGTCAAGGTGCGGTCCAGGAACGTCTTCACCAGCTCTTCTTGCTGAAAAGGCCGTACGGCGCAGGGGTGAGGCGCAAGAACCGACACCCCACTAAAGTCGCTCACAAGGCGAGAATGTTAGGGTGCCTTTTTCCCAACGTCTGGCTTCCTGCATATGCTTGTTGCCTTTTGCCGTGCCTTGGATGCCCGCCCGAGGCTCGCGAGACGGCCAAGCGCTATCGAAGGTAGAGGGCTCGCACTGGAGGTGGAATAACTGAGGCACCCCCCCGCCATTCTCATCTAGTCTGTTAGCCCATTCCCCCGCCAAATAGCGAACGCTCGCGGGTTTGGAACTCGGAGCATCTAATCTCGGTGGTGGAGCGGCCGCGAGCGACGGCTCCCGGGGGCACACCGCCAGCGGGTGGAGGAGCTGCTTTGCTCACTAACAACTCCCCCGCACGGCCGCCAATGGCGCTGCTGCTATGGTGCTGTTTCGGCTGCTCTCTCTGCCACCCGCCCTCCGATGCCTCGCCGGCCCTGCGTACGGCGCGAAAGCCGTCGTGCTGAACGAGTGCGGTTCGTATTCAGTGCCTTTGCTCATAAGGCAACCAATCGACGCACCCTTCTTGCGGAATAATGAGCGTACCTTCGAGTAAGAGTGACCTTTTACGCATCTTGATAGCAAATCCGACCGTTTGGCAGGAATGTCGACACCTCGGCACCGCATTGTGTCACTTCGTTGACCCTCAAACAGCTCATAACAATGCTCGTAACAGCACCATATCCCTCCAATATTCTCGTGTAACTTTCCGTCGTCGAGTGCTACTGGCGTAATCGTTTTCATGACTTCCACAACATTGCTAAAGCAAATATTGAAACTGAAATTGTTGTGCACTTGTGTGCCCTCACTAGATGACGCCACCAACCCGCTTTGTTACGACTCCGCCGAGGAAGGCTAAGAAACTCTCATTAGAGGGGGGCCAACTCTGGAGCGGGGAGGATGGAAGGCTGCTGTCATCCCGGCCACTTGTTATTAGTTAATAAAGTATTATGTTAAAACCCAACCCTGAACACGGCTGGACTGGAAGCGCACGCTCTCTTTCTCTTCTTACGGCCTTTGCAATCGCCCGGGAGCCAATGGTATTTTTTCTCCATGTGTAGTTCACTTGCTTGCCGCTAGGGGCGCAACCACCTCACCCCTCTCGGAGAGTCCCTTCGAGCTCTTATCTGGTGAAACGCATTAGTGAGTTTGGGTGCACCGCCTGTGTTAGCTGTCGACTACGAGTAACAGAGGTGATCCTCTGTTCGTCTTATTGCAAGGCCAGGATAAAAGCGGACTTCATCATCCAAATCCTAGGTTCCTCGCACTTCTAAACAACATTGGTGCTTTTTTTTTTTTTTGAAAGGCTGTTAAGAACTTTTTGCGTATAAATGTGCATGAAGTTCTGCAACAACTCAATGCACCCTATCTTGAAGACGCGCCAATCCTAAGTTGCCCAGAGGGCATTGACAACAGTCACTCAAAGCGCTTGGCTGGTTTAATTTGCAACAAGTTCCTCAGAATGCTTCTGATTAACCATGCAAAGACGGTCATGGACAGAAAGGAAAAATCAGCTGGATATGTGCACAACCCCTCGAGGAAGCACTTTAGGCTGTAGTGTAATATGCACTGTGCGAAAATTGTACAGGCTAATACACCCTTGTCTAGAGCAGCTGACCGACTTCATGTGCGGCCTATGAAATGATAATGCAGACCACAGCAATAGATAGATTGGGCCTGCTTACATTTCACGAGTGTATGAATGATTCATCATTTAAAGTTCCTCCACGTAGAAGGGGTCCGTCTCCTCCTGTTCTTGAGTTGCAACAGAAGTCCTGGAGGTAAAGACGACTATAGTTTTTCCGCAACTGCATTCACTGTCTCTACTTACTACTTTTTACTCCCGAATCTCTCGGAGATGTGCGTCAAATATTCACCGTTTTGGGCTCATCAAAAGCGCATTAGATAGTGGCTGAGGGTCTAAACGTAAGGATCAGGTGTCAAAGGCTATAAAAATCTCGGCCGCAAGTTGCAACAGCGCTAAGATACACTGTCAGACGCGCTCTGAGCAAACGGAAAAGGGTAGCCAAGGGGTGAGGTGACAGTGCCCCCCGCGAATTGCGGCGGGAGGTGGCGATTGCCCCAATTGCAAAGACACCACGACATTTGTGGCGCACAAGACGTGTCCAGGAGCTTTTTCACAGGAGGGACGGAGTCGTACGTTCATGCTCCGTTGCCTTGCCGGGTGCACAAGTGCTGAAGCGACAGGTGCAACTGGTATACCCCTTAGAACTTGTACAATGAATGAGCGTTTATTGGTGCGCTCATTTCGGGGGAAGCGTGTTGCGGATTGTTGAAGATAGCTCGTGAGACTGCGGGCAAAAAGAGAAGAAGAAAGAAGTCGAGAAAGAATGGACTGATGCGCGAGGACCTCAGAAAAGCTTCCCCTGGACAGTTGCCTGTACATATGTAAATATCCCATCAGTAAATGAGTGTATTTCTTTTCAATTCAACAACCTCGAACGACCTATTCCGCCTGGAAGTATAACAGGCCGTAAGAAGAGAAAGAGAGCGCACGCTTCCAGTCCGGCCGTGCCCTGAAGTACATTACGGAAATAGTGCAAGTGACTACGGATCAAAAACCTCCAGAAAAGGCAGCGGGGACAACGTCTCCGTGTCACTCGACACTTTCCGACACTTTCCCAAGGATTGGTTGGAGTCGATCGACGAGCGCTCCACCGGCTCCAGGTCTACATGCGGCACATGGAGAGATCGCTCGCATCTCAGGAGGGGCACAGCATACCGCTCACCAAACGCTCACCATTTGCCATACCAACCATGTCCCGAAACGGTCCCTGAAGGTGAAAAGTGAACTATGCTTCTCTCCAACGTTGCGTGGTACATTAGCCATCAATCAGTTAGTTGCGATCCTTAAATTTCTTGTCAACAGCAACAAATACCTTTTGACTGACACAAAGTAACAATTAACAATAACCAGTTACCGTTTTTGAAGAAATGTGTACAGCTAACACCAACCTTTTCCCAACCCCCCGTCCGTGCTGTGTTTGTGCCGCAATCCAGAAGTGCCAAAAAGGACCAAAAACGACAGATATCCTTACAGTTATGAGTACAGCTGAGCTTACCACTCGGCATGTCGGCGCTTTTTGCTAGGGTCGGTGACAGCCTCCAGCCCTCGTTTTGCTAAAGTAGAAAGGGGTAGGAGCAATTTCTGCTGAACTCTTAAAGCCCATTCACACAATTGCGACTCCTTAGAACCAAGTGCCTTAATATCTCATAAAATCTCTTACAACGAGAGAACACACCGACATGCTGGCGCCATCTATGCACTGACCCTGGAACTGCACTTCGCTAGAGAAAAGGTTTGGCGGTATTTGCAAGGTCAAATGTATGTACTAGTCATGGGAAATGTTTGTTTATAACAGGGGTGGCCAGGCTGACCCCGTCTAAGAGTTGCAAACAACACCACGGATCTTCGAAGAGCCGCAAGGGGGGGGGGGGGGGGGGGGGAGCCAAATTTTTGTCTAGAGCAATGAACGAAATTTAAACAACTTTCAATCCATCCGAGTCAAAAGCAGTGTAACTGTAAAGTAAGGTAGCAGTAGCACAAGACTACCAAACCACAACCTGTCCTTCGATTCAAAACAAGTTCCATTTCTCTTTTTGGGGAAGTGCTCATGTGACCGGGAGAGAGGCAGGGGAGGGGGGTGGGTAAGGCACGGAGCCGCGAGCCGCACTTTAACAGGCAAAGAGCCGCATGCGGCTCGCGAGCCGCAGCTTGGTCACCCCTGGTTTGTAACATTGACAAAGGCTTTTCAAGCCAAGAAAGAGAGAATGATGCGCAAAAGAAATTAAAAATATACGGGACCACCCAGTGTTCCACTGCTACCCGATAAGTGGTGCCAGTGTGTCCTCTCGTCATAAGAGATTTTAAGAGGTTTCAAGGCACTTGATTCTAAGAAGTTGCAAGTGTGTGAATGGGCCTTTAACCTGTCACTGACTATAGGTGCATATACTCAGTCTGTTAGTACCAAATAACTGAAGCGAGCCCAACAACAAGCAGAAGGAACAAAGTGTTGGTTCACTGGCCCTCTAGCAGCTTGTTTTGCTTTTTATACCACATTCTTTCTCTAATACAGTTGTCGATAGCACACTACGACACTACTTAAGTGAGTTATCAATGTCTATCCACACTTTTTTACCTCGAAGGTAACTGCACATGCTACAAGTAGAGAATAGATGTATGAAATTTCCTTCTTTTTGTTTCCTAACTTTTTTCTGAAGGCCTGGCCCCACAGTTTTAAGCCTTTTCAAACTAAAAGGGGCACTACACTTGAAGGCTCATAGGAGTCCTAAACTTGATCAAAGATTTCGAGATCATGGGGTCACAGACTTTGAGCTGTGACCGGCGTTTCAATACGACACACATGTTACTCGCTTTTTTGTCTGCCACACCGATGCATTGGCTGCGGCGAAAAACAAGAGCCTTCTTGAAAGCGCTACAGGTCTGGAAGTTCAAACCAAGCTGTCACAAAAAAAAGAAAGCAGGGAACCCATTTAATAAAAGTGTTGCACAGGGCAAGGGGGAGAGAGTGGGATCATACGAATATTTCCTCCGTGACGCCGCATTCCCATACGCAGCCAACTGTGTGGTTGGCGTGAAACCCGACTTCGCTTTTAAACAAAGAGCAATTCCTTTCTCTAAACATGGCATCATCACTACCACAACCAAGACCCGAATTCGCCGCAAATGCCAGACAGGCCAAAACAGCTGCAACCTGGCGATTTGTCGTTAGCCAACGTGCTCCTCCTTGTCAGCCGCTCCTCTGAGCAGCTCGGTACACAGCAGCAAAACCTGTCCTAATACGGGACCCTTCCGCATTTTAACGCAAAATGTGTCCAACAACCGAAATCCTCGAGAAAAGTGTGACGGAATGCCGCAGATACCGTTACGAAACGTGCAACATATACTTCAAAGGACAATCCGCACACAAAAGAATGCATAATTGGGAAGAAATTAATTAATTCAGAAGTGGCAGTGGCCAACGTGAACGCCGGCGTTTAAACGCATTCGAGCTATCGGTACAGACAAGGGCTTTGAACCTGCCCACTAATCGTTCTAACCAGAGCACTGTGCTCCGATATCCCCACTCTCATCTCCTCCCCTTTCTCAGTATCTATCCGTGTAACCTAAAAGAATAGAAAAGAAGAAAATATAACTGCAGGTTGCCAAAAGCACCAAAAGAATGCCGCAGAAATGCATCTGTGTATACTGACTAACCGTAGAATCAAGATACATTTTTTTTCTTTTGGACCTAATCCTAGCAAGTTGGTTCTTCAAGATTATCTCCGGAATTGGGTGGACGCTTGCTCGGCGTTTTACGGTACAAGGACGGCAAACATAAGTCAACTCCGCCGGAGCTGGTGGTGCGTAGCTGCCCCAACAGACCTTGATGTGCTTGCGGCACTCCTTGAAGCCGGCCGCCAGCTGCGTCACCACGTCCTTGTGATCGTCCAGGACCTGCTGCACCGTCTCCGAGTAGCGGCTCTCGGACTCAAAGTCCGTCACCTGCGCCCAGCCGGGACGTCCAGTGCTCAAGCAACCACCTTTGTCCGTCCACAGACAAATGCACAGAGCGGATAACCTTAATGCGGTTGTGTCACGAAGAGAAAAAATCTAGAGTATTGCCGACACAAAATTTTTGCAGGCTATTTACTATGCTCAGCCTGTTTAACAACCTCTAGAGCAGAGGTGGCCAAACCACAGCTCGCAAACATTGTGCAGCTCTTGGGAGGCCCAAGTGCGGCCCGTGGCTCCCTGGTAAACCTCCTCCCTCCCCAGACCAGATAAAAATAAAAGTAATGCAGAAAAATGGGCAGATTGTGTTTTTTCAGCTTTGTGCCACCATATCATTGGATGATGTCCTTATTTTACGAATAGAAACACACAATAAAGAATGACTGACAAGGAAACAGCGCACCCTCAAAACAAGCACTCTAAGCTTTCATGCACACAAAAGAAAGAGCCACTTACACAGTGCTGACTGACAACTCTATGTTATATTTACAATTTTCGTTTTCGTCTTTCTTTGGGACTAGGGTTTCTATGGCAAAAAATTGCCCTTTTCTTCTTCCTTCTTTTTCCTGTGTTTTTGTAATAGGAAGCTAAACCATAAAATTATTGTATGGCTAAGTACTCTAGTTCTTTGTTGGATAACATTATGGAAGGAGTGCTGACACATCTCTCCCTTTGCCTGGCAATGTTCTCTGCTTCCATGATTTCTCTTGTCAGCTTGACGTAGTTCCTGCCTAACACTGTGCATTTCTCCAGCTGCGCTGTGCAGCCACAGTCTCGGCAGTGAATTCCCAGGTGTCCGGAGTTTTTGTTGGTGATAGTGCAGTTGTGCTCACGAAGGCGATCGTTGACGCACCGTCCGGTCTGTCCTATGTATTGTCGTCCACAGGATAGAGGGAAGGAGTAGACCACCTTTTCGGTACACTGTACGAAGTTGTTTTTATGTTTCTTCGTGCACTTGACTGTGGTTCTTGTGGGTGTGTTTACTCTCTTGCACAGGCTATGAAGTTTGTTAGGGGCTGAGAAGACGATGTCCAGGTTAACTCTATTAGCTATTTTCTTTAGACCGTGGGAAAAGTTGTGAATATATGGCACAATGACCAGTTTTTTGGCCCTGTCTTTTTCTTTTTGTTTAATGTGGTCCCCTTGCTTAATGTCTTTGATGAGTCTTTCGGCCACTGATGTAAGTAAGGAGGTTGGATATCCTGCGCATTTTAATCGAGAGACTTGCCTGTTGAAGCTTGTTTGCATGGAATGGCAGCATGATTTTGTAAGTGCGTTGTTGAGACTTAACCGCACAATGCTCTGCTTAACAAGTTTCGAGTGCGCCGAGTTGAAAGGTAGAAGCGGCTTTTTCCCCCTGGGCTCATAGGACCAGCATACATGATAAGGTAAAATAAAAAGTCGCCGATCCAGGAATCTCAACGAGTGTAAGTGTAAGTGGGTGTAAGCGCTGTGTAAGTGGCTCTTTCTTTTGTGTGCATGAAAGCTTAGAGTGCTTGTTTTGAGGGTGCGCTGTTTCCTTGTCAGTCATGAACAACCAACTCGCCCGAACCTCCATTTTAACAATAAAGCTTTACCAGGGGAATTAGCCATGCCCTCAACTGAAAAGAAATCAAAAGATTTCAAAAGCACCACGTCACTTTTTTATTGACTCCTCACTTAAAATTATCCCGTTTTACAGATCTTTGAATGTGTCCGTCTGGCCACCCCTGCTCTAGAGTCGAGCACTCTAGTAATTATAAATATTAATCCCTTAATATTTTCACAACTAGCTGCACTGTGCAAGTGTGATCGGGTGTGGGCAAGAAGTGTGCCGTCCCATGTGAATAAATTGCGTAATACTTTACGGGGGCAAAGTTATTTCAGATTTTAGTTGTTGAGTGGCATGACCTCCTTTGATCAAATGAAAATTACGGGGCGGAACATAACAAAAATCTAAGTAGTTACTTTACTACGAGAGGACTTCCATTCTGTTGAAACAAGAAAGAAAAAGAAAAGAAAAAACAAAGATGTGCCAGGTGTAACTCTGGTGCTTGTTTCAACAAACCACAGGGAGTAGAGGGAAATCGGTGCTTCAACACCAACCACAAAAGAGTTACTAAAAGACACTCGTGTCTTCAACAGCTACCATTAAAAAAAAAAAATTTGTGAGCAAAATTATTCGGAAAACACAAAGTTCCTCTAAAACCACAGCTGTTACACCTGCCAGAACAGGGGGTGAAACTTACCGGAGGAAAATCGGTCAGGAGGTAAAACGTTTGAGTGTAGAGCTCATGCTGCCAAAGAGAAAAAAAAAGCCAGTCAATCAGTTACACCATCCGTAAGCTTGTAGTGCTGGCCCGAACCCAAGCCACTGCCAGCTTGGATTCACTCCAAAAGTAGCAGAGATGAAAAAAAAAGAAGAGCAGCACAAAAAAAAAAAAAAGAGAGTGCATCCTTTTTCTTGGAGCGGGAGTCAACGCGAATGCGGAATCTGGGCCAACACTCACGCTGTAAAATTGTGTCTGGAGAACACTGCAGCACAACTCCTCGTTTTGAGGTCGGTCAACGGAGGTGTACAGGTGCATTAAATAAGTAAAGAAATAATGGCATTTACTAAACTACCTCGTAGGCTCAGGAGTTGACATTTACCGCAACTGCAAATGCCAACTATAAGGTAGTGAGCAAACGATTGAAATGCAGGGTGTCCCAAGCAAACCTTCTGTCATAAAACGAGCAGGGAAAATTGACGCCCGCACATAGGAGGCTCGAACTTTCACCAAAGTGCACAGAGCAGGTCAGTTTTATCGCGAAACATTTCGAGGCGCAGTTCTCTACCCGTACAAAACGAGAGCGCTGGTAATTTGCATTTTTTGGGAGATTATTTTATCAATCATACAACTCTCTAAATTGGTCGAAATTCGGGAGTCTCCCGGGTAATACGGGAGACTTGGCAAGTATGCACAATGGAAGCGCTCTATGGCAAAGTCAATTTCCCCAGGAATTTTTACGGCACTGTTTCTTGTGTCGGACGTGCGCACATACCGGCATTAAGAGTGCGATCCAACTTTGCCTCGAAGTACTCACCACGGCCAGGATGGTGGGGTTGCACCCGACGATGAAGGGAAGGCTGCGGAAGCCGGCGATGCGGTGTGCAATGCGCACGGGAAGCTCCTTGTGCAAGTATTGGGCACTGCGCTGCAAAGAACCGCCGAGGGAAACACAGTTAGCCCACCACAATCGCTCTCGATGTAACCGACGGACGAATGCATTAATTGCCTACTAATTTCTATACTACTATTCGGTTAAGTGTGAACCCTTCTACAGGGTCGTCACAGGCACTATTTTTGTAACTGTTATCATCATTAACTTAGTCCTCAACCAGGTTTTAAAAGCTCAGTATTACAATGATAACCTATGCGACTGACAAAAGGGGGTTCATCTTTCAACATCCACTCATGACAATGGGACATTGCATTTCCGAGCCATGACGAAAAAGCAAACCTTTGGCACTGCCGAGACAAAAGGCCACAGTGCTGAATTTTCCACATCACCTAAACGTATGGTGCTCACCCTGTACATCTTAACAAAGCAATATCCGTGGCTCCGTTAACAAGAAAACTGTAGGCGATTCACTTTGTCTACTCTCTTTTCGTTCTCCACTGAGCAGACTGCGTATCCATCAACGATCGAGGCTTCGTCATGCTCCGTAGCAATGAAGTTGGGATGTCTTGCAATGATAACCTAGTTGTAATAGAGCACGAACAAATCACTTATGTAAACCTTTTGAATGTGCAACAAACTACACTACAAAGTGCAAAGTCTAAACGGCACAAAGTAGCCCGTGTGGGGACTGGAGGGGCGCAGTACCACATGGTACTTGGTCCGGCAGGTGTGCCAAAGGGGCATATCTACAGACGCCACACTGTGAGAGATTCCTGGCACTGTGACCCTCGACACTTCCCAACGTAGCAAAATTGAGATTCAGCATGTGAACTCTTTCCAGGCATTCTTATCCAGAAAACCATTTTGCAGCTCCCACCAATCCTTCCACTCTCTCAGGCATATCTGTCAGAAACTGAGGCATTGTTGCACAGCTGTACGGCGGCGTATCTTTGGAGAGCCACGCTCACAAATGCACACGTGCAAGAACAGATAAAGACGAGATAACGAAGACTCCACAGGGGTCTATGTCACTCCTTGAAGCACCTCCTCGTGGAGAGATACTTGAGTGCACCGACCAGCACTGCTGAATGGATAGATTTGACGATCACAAAGCGTGAGGTCGATGCGCAGCCACGCAGCGTGGCATGAGCTCGAAGTCTTTAAAAGAAATCGTACAGGCAAGACATGTAAGATGACTTTAACACCAAGTTGAGCTACGTACGTTGGAGCCACAGACGAGTGCATTAGACGAAATTAGCCGTCGTTGTGAAAAACTCATATGCGAGAAATAAAAGTGAAAAACAAGCATCCAGGTGTTTGTGCTAGTAACCTTGTCGCGCTCTGTACCACAAGTCAACTTGATCCGAGTTTTAAACCAAGTGGACAAATAACTGCCATGCAAACCAACTAAATTTTCAGTGCAACAATACAGATGTTGCAGAAACGGGGAGAAAAAGAAATCTCGCGTGATGTATATGAAGTGACTTGTCTTAACTCTTTGCTTACTAAAGGAAAAAAAGGCTGTTATAGGATGAACTCAGTAAACAAATTGTTTTGCCACAAATTTCACTACTGGGTGTACCAAAACATGCCAAAATGTTGCTAAAGGAATTCTTCTTTCAAGGATATAAATGTCAAACAATATATCACATAGCGCAAGAAAAAAAAACGTAATGTCAAATTTTGTGTAACTAACACAGAAGTTATTTTAATTCAATATGTCTTGCAAAGTATTAGGAGTAAAAACAAAAAAGTCCAAAATATACATTTTGTACCTTACTCTTCTAGAAACAAATCCTGCAAGTTTAAAAAGGCCTCTATGCAGAACTTCGTTCTGCAGAAGAGAAAAATAGGTAGCCCCCTTGACGACTGCACCATTCCCCGAAGTCCCAACCAAAGAGTTTCGAGGTATTCTGTAGTGTTGTGCTGAGGTCGAGACTGGGCCACCTTTAAAAGAAAACTCCACTTGTTTTACTGTTGATGGCATAAGATCAAGTCTATATGAGGTCGACACCCTTCAGATGAAAAATAATGCTTTCAGAATATGTCCAGTATGTCCACAAAAGCTCACGGACGCAATAAATGCCCTCGGTGCGCAAAACAAAATTTATCAACAGGCACCTGTAGATTCTAATCCCGGCTGGTTCGACCAACTGCCACAATCGAAACTAAAATTCAATGAATGAACGTCATCTTCTGACTTGCTGCTACCACTTTTATCCACAAAATTGATGACATATGCACTAGAATCGCGAGTCAAATAATGTTTTGGGGAGCAACGCCGTGCGATAAGGACGTCGTTGCTTGAGGATGAGGGTAAAATTGTTGAAGAGCCTCGAACTTTAAAGTCGTGTGAAAAATTTCCCCCTCACAAAACAACAAAAAGCGAAACCGAAACACAAAGTAGAGTCTCTCCGTAATATTCTAGGCGGCGTCACATGCCTGAAAATAGAGCTGAACGAGTTGAAAAGGAGTTTGAAATCCATCAATCAAATTGACTGATTTGAATAGGCGTGGTAAGGAAAAGGTTAGTATTAGCACCTGATCATAAGGGAACGTCGCAAACTTGAAATTAGAGTCGCCGAATAAAGACTTCAAAGCAACATCTCTCCGGCCATACTGTTCCCCGAGTCGAGTGTTGCCAATTGTCACCAGCTTTCACCAACGCGTCTCACAGAAAAGGCAGAAAGCGCTTCCTTCATCCTGCCTGCTAAAACAGTCCGCAAATGAGCGAAATAACATCTGCATAGTCTCTTATAACCGTACCTAAAACTCAAAAACAAGCATCTCACAGCCAAAACCCTTACCAACGTCACCCGCGTGGCTCTAGGCAACAAAATGCCGGCACCTAGGTGCCGATGGTGCTTACGTAAACGGCTTTCACACGACATGAATAAATGAGTGACCGTTGTGACGGCACCAGACAATGAGGAAAACAGTGCGGATAGTTTGAGCGTAGACCTTGCGTGGCTCTACTTGACAGTTTTCTCCATGGGTTAGATGAGCACCAACACAGTCCCGATAACGATTCCATTCCGACCAGCGTGCACAAAGTGAAGGGCGGCGGCGAAGTCCTTACCAGAAGGTGGCTGCCATCAGGTGACTTGCCAGAATATAGTATGGTGGTGGGTGTCAGACGAACAGAGGGCTGTGGGGAGAAAACATTAACATACTTCAAGACACATGACAAGGATCCATAGCCAAAGACTAGCACGCTACAAAGGTGAATACAAAACATTTTTCAACCCCTCCAGCCCTTGCATTCTGCATTTAGGTACATGGGTCTCATCAAATATAGGATGGCAAAAATTTCCTGGACACCTCATAAAACTAAACATAAAAACCAATGCTTGCATGGAAACAAACTTGAATTTTCATCAAAGGTACATTCTGAGTGGTAGTTCAAGCATGTAAGGTTTTTTCCGTTCCGGTGAAACGATCCTAGATAATTCAAATGATGAATGTCGGTGGCCAATTAAGTTACATTGGTTGCTTTTATAGAGAAATCCATGACGTGTCAATGTTATGTAGCTTATGAACCAACAAGTTCCAGTATATATTGACAACCCCCGAAAATTTAATCCCGGGTTAGTTCTACCCAAATCAGGGTAAACCGAAGAACCCTGAAGTGGAGCTGGTCTTAAATAACAAAAACCAAAGCTTTAAAGAAGTTGCACATGAACAAGTTTATTTTGCACTGATCTGGAACACAGCTTGTATTGAACTGTCGCCGCTGCTTCTTCAAGAACCACAGCCCTTATCAAGTTTCTTTCTTTCATCAAAGAGGAACTGGTGACCAAGTTCGCTAGTGTGCACCAGCTCGGAGCATGTGGAGTGAAAGCTTGCAATGCAGAGCCCCTGGGTTCCATCTCCACCCCTGCTCGTTTCGATCCGGATGAGCATCGCACCGGCTTGCAATCGTGTATCAGAACTGCGTGGTGCACATTAAAAGATTCCAGGCTAGCGGTTGTACTGCGCTGACTAAATTGCCCATCTACAGCTGAGAGACAAGTTGCCAGTTGAGGCAGACTAACTTCAGGCTGTATAAACATACAGATAGCACACTTCTTTCAATGGTGAGATGCCTTTTCGTGTACTCGGGTTGTGCGCATGCTCCACGAAGATTGACAAATCCAATGGCTGTGTCCTGTATACTTTAACATGAGCCCCGAAAAACACTGACATTTGGTCTGAAAATAAACACCAAGAATAGATACCAAATATGGGGAAAAACACACGAAACCCTAAGAGGATATTGCAGCTGAATTAGAACTAAAATAAGAATTTTTTACGATTCCAGGTGGCACTGCGGTTGCTGCCTTCTTAGACAATCGAGCTGCGCTAGTGACAAGAGTTCCTTCTTTCCATCAAATTTAAAAAAACATCCCCGTCTTTTGCTAAGCTTATCTTTGAACGCTTGACCTACAAATGAAGGGGCTGGGGTTGGGGGGAGGGGGGGGAGGGGTGAGAAGATAATGCTTTTATTTTTTAATTAGGCAGATACAAAGACAAAGACTGCTTGAAGGGGAGGTGCCTTCGCCTGTTTTGTCTGTGTTTCGTGTGTTCGGGCTGGTTCTGGGAAAACAGCAATGTTGTTGTAATACCAGGACAGGTTTACAGTGCCCTGCACCCCAAAGTTGAACAGAACACATTTTTTTCTCGCAAAGATCATACTTCCAAGTCAAATAAAATTAAATTTTCATTGATATTACCGCACTACATGATGGATGGAAAGCCAAAAAGATATGGCTTGGCTGTTAGAGTATATCACTTATAAAAGCAGTCTTTTTATTTCCTTGTTCTACCACGGAGCAGACGATACTGCAACAGAGTCCCCAGCTAATCGCTGTTGCCTCAATAAAAGTGACTTTGAGCACTGATTGAGGTCATTTTTTCTTCCATGGCAGCAGGTTGCATAAACCAATAATAAATTCAGCCACGCACAACCATAACTAAAGCATCATACCAATGGGGAAAAAAAGATACAGGTAAAGTAAAGATGTAAGTACAAGTAAAGATACTGACACAGAATGTTTAGACATCTAAGTACCTTTTTCTATGAGTGTATGTTTTCTAAGTATTAGGGTTCAGTTGCGTCTGCGATTTGCCTGCGCTCTCACTCTTCATTCAGTTCAGCGATATTGCGACAGGATGTTATGAATGCTAAGTTTTTGCAATTATTTCTTCCAGCTCCTAGATGCTGAAGCGCTTCATGCAAGCTTTAATTTGTTTGCTGGTTTCCCCCTAAAGCTTTGTCGCCTGTATGTGATGATTGTTGCTGCCGTGCCTCGGATAAGTTAAATTGCTACATGGGGGGGTATTTTGGAACTGCATGGTTTTGTAAACATATTGACGGCAATTAAGAACTCTAATCATACACCCTGACGAATCGCGACCAGGTCGGTTTACGCTTGAGTCCCAGTAAGGACCTGCCTCATATATACACACACAGATGTATGGAGCTTTGGTGACGTCACGCAGCCCTGACGCATAGTTGCTGGGAAAAGTACCTGAAGAGCGGTTCATTTCCCTTTTGCGCATTGGATGAACCATGACTCCCAAAGAGATGTTTTCTCCGATTCTTCTCAGAGACCTGTATGGTGCAGTTGTCAAAGATAATTGTGCGACCGATAAGTCAAGATTCCAGCGGCGTAGACTTTCCATTTTCCCAGGGGGGGGGGGGGGGGGGGGGAGGGCAGGCTGAGAAGTTTTCTGGGGGAGTGGGGGGGTGCTGAGCATTATTTTTTCATCAGAACTGGAGATTGAAGCTAACGAAGGCATGCTAGGATTCTATTTCCCATGTATATTGTCAATAAAGGCAACGTGGGCGTTATTTTGTTTACATGCCACTTCTAGAAGCTCGTTACATGGCATGTAAACAGCGTCTCGGTGAGGATCATGGCCTGGGCCCGGGGGGGGGCTCTGCGGCTTCCCCAGATCTCACCAGGGAAAGTACGAGCCCCAATGCCCCCCCCCCCCCCCCCCCCCCGAAGTCTATGCCTATGCAAGATTCTGTTGATTAAATTTATGACTAGAGTTCTTAATTGCCATTTATGTTGTTTCTTGACCAGGCAAAGAGCCTGTCGAACCTTTACCTTCTTACACACATGTACAAAAACATGCACATTCGCACACATGTGTACAAAAGCATGCATATTAGTAAAGCTGTACGCAAAAACATGTGCACTCAAACCGATCAAGAAAAAAGTGACTTTCAAAACATAAATATCACATTCAATTGCACAACGTAGCTTTACACCATTCTTTTGTAAATACTGAGGAAATATGCTGAATAGACATTTGAAATATCTTAGTTGGGAACTCTTCATGCACTTGAAATCCACCAAATGTGACAAAAGACATGTTTCTTTTCGTGGTGTCAACAACTGGAGAGATTGCAGATGGTGAGGTTATCAAAGCTTTATTTGGCAGAGTTAAGTTTTACAAACTATGCGCATCGAAATATTTGTACAAAATTTGGGATTAAGACTTTGTTGACGCACGGTGGAGCGCTCAAGCTCATACGAAAAATTGAACTCTTTCTCTTGCAGCTCTCCGGCTTCTGTAGACCAATCACTTTAAACCTGACTGGTGCTGCGTGACAAACTCATAAGCGGCCGGCATCACCATAAACGTCCAGAGAGCCTTCAACGACCCCTACAAACCAGGGTGTCGAAACAAAATATTTTTTGTTCCGGTTTCAGTTTTGTTTTTTAAAAAAAGTCCCGTTCAGATTCTGCTCCAGAACGAAAAAACATGTTTGCGTGCAAAAAAGATTGAAAACCAAAATTAAAGAAAACAAAACACATTGTTTTATCAAAAAGTATATCATTAAAAAAAAAAAATTAGACGTTTACAATTCTCTGTAATGCCGAATTAGAGCGCAGCTCTTGAGGAGGAGGGTACGGTATGCCCCTCTTCCTCGTCTGTACCCTCTCCTTCACCCTCTTCATCTACTCCCATGCTCCTTGCCTCCTCCTCCTCCTCCTCCCTCCCGCACGGTGCATTATTGGGAAACGTCTCATAATGCACCGCGCAGTTACGCGGGCAGCGACGTCGCTCAAGCCGGATACGGGCGCCTAAGAGCTGCACTTTAAAAGTTATAGCAGGTGTGCTGTTATTGCAACGATAGAAAATTAAAGCATCGGGGTAAAAACTACTACAAAAAAGAAAGCAATAAACCATGAAACAAAAGCAGCTGTGTATTTGGTCGTCAAAATAACGAGAAAGGTAACTTGTCACCAGCGACTCAAACCGAAAAATATAACGTTTCGGTTACGGTTACCGTTTCCTGTTGATATCTGTTTCGTTTCAGTGTTTTACGGTTTCGGTTACCGGTTATATGTTACTAAAAACTGGTGTATTTCGGTTTCTCCAATAATTTTTTTTTATTGAAATGCTAGACAGCCGTTTTATTAAGCTGTTTAAAGTAGTTCCAGATATTCAACAACGGGACATTCACAATAACAAAAACTCTTAGTGCTTCTAATTGGTAAAAAGTTTAACATTTCCAGCTCCAACACTTGTTCACTACATCTATTTCCATCATATAGTTTGATACCCAAGCATACATATCACACCCCCTACTCGGGAACCATCGCTTTCTAGATATAATAAAAAATAAAAAATTAAAATAAACATAGCTATTTTGTTGTTCGGCAGCATTTGTAAACAACCTTCAGAAAGTTCCCACTGGGTGCTGGAAGAGCCATTCGCAATAAAGAAGAGGCTTTGCCCACACTGAAGAAAGGGACAGAACTGTAGCCCTCCCTCCCCAAGTAAAATACATAATAAAATTGAGAGCTGGGCTAGTTGGTGAAAGTCAAACATAATGTAAATGCAATAGCGCCGAACAAGGAAGTCTAAGGAAAGAAACGAACAACACAGCTGTAAAAATATGTCCTGTGTTGTTCGTTTTGTTCCATAGTCGCCGTTGTTGTGCGCTGTTACACCTACACCATGTTTGCTATTTCCAAGGAAATGCATGTGGTTGTAGAGGCGCACTTTTCTCGCTGTCTGATCATGTGACGCTAGAAGAATTGTGCATTTATATAGTGGCGCCACTTTTCTTCGGCGTTTGAAGGCGGAGCTTCTCCTACAGATATGTTGCAACTAGGGATGTCACAAACCTCTGCCCAGCCGGATTTT